CCTGGTGCTGGGTGGTGGACGGGGTACTGTTGGAGTCTACGTAACAGGGGAGGATGAAGGGAGGAGATGAGATGGAGGAGGAGGAGGAAGAGGCGGAGGAGGAGGAGGAGGAGAACTAGTGTCAGCCCAAGAGCCATCAACGATGTTTGAATGCACCCTCTCTCCAAGCTCCTTTCTCATAGGCCCCTTACAAAGGTTCTTTCCACTGAGGGGACTGTCTCGAGGGAAGACAACCGTTGGAAGACCCTGAAGCATGCCAAAACATTGTTCTCGGGATTGCAACGCCACGGATCAACCTGACTGTTGCGTCTGGACGATCCTGAATCGTACCAGAACGTCATTTGTGGGATGCAACATCGCGAATCAATGTAACTGTTGTGCCTACAAAATCTTGGACCCTTCCAAAACACCGTTCCTTGTACGCTGATCATGGCAACATGTGAAGCTCTTGTAAACTGTACCAACGAATGTGCGTGGCGCTAGGGCGAGAGCTAAATTTTGAAAAGGAACCGCCCTCAATCCGTGAAGCTCTTGCAATTGTTGGAAAACGAATGTAGGCGGCGCGCTAAGGCGAGAGCCACATTTTGAAAACCACGCGCCCTCAATCCGTGAAGCTCTTGCGACTTTTTGTCACGACTGTGCGCGGCGCTAGGGCGAGAGCCATATTTTGAAAAGAAGCCGCCCTCAAAACGAATGTACGCGGCGCTAAGGCGAGAGCTACATTTTGAAAACCACCCGCCCTCACTCTGTGAAGCTCTTGCAACTTTATGACACGACTGTGCGCGGCGCTAGGGCGAGAGCCACATTTTTAAAACCATGCGTCCTCAATCCGTGAAGCCCATGCACATTTTTAACACGAATGTGCGCGGCGCTAAGGCGAGAGCCACATTTTGGAACCCACCCGCCCTCCATTCTTGAAGTGTTGCCAGTTTGAAAGTTTCAGGGTCATGAGTAATCTCAGGAGAAATGCCCGGACCGCCCTAAAAACTTGCCGCGGAGTGCGACAAGGAGAAGTTCCCAAATTAGAGCTTGCCTCTGTAGGGGTCCTAGCGGATTCATTTGGTTAGGTGAGGTTTGTCATCGATTTCCGCGGCCCGCCCGCGTGCCCGGGTGCCCAGGTGCCTTATAGCCCCATAGCCCCATAGCCCTACAGCCCTATAGCCCTATAGCACTATACCCCTATAGCCCTATAGCCATACAGCCCTATAGCCTTGTAGCCATAAGCCCCATAACCCAACAGCCTGATAGCCCTATAGCCCAACATCCCTATAGCCCTCTAGCTCTATAGCCTTACAGCCGTATGGTCCTATAGCCCTATCGTCCTATAGCCCTATAGCTCTGTAGCCCGATAGCCCTATAGCCCTGCAGCCCTACAGCCCTATAGCTCAATAGCCCTATAGCCCAATAGCCTTATAGCCCCATTGCCCTATGGCCCTGTAGCCTTATAGCCCTATAGCCCTATAGCCCTATATCCCTATAGCCATATAACCCTATAGCCCTATAGCCCAATAGCCTTATAGCCCTATAGCCCTATCGTCCTATAGCTCTATATGCCTATAGCCCTGTAGCGCGATATCCCTATATCCCTATAGCCCTATAGCCCTATGGTGCTATAGCCCTATAGCCCCATAGCCCTATAGCCCCATAACTCTATGGTCCTATAGCCCTACAGCTCCATAGCCCCAGATCCCCATAGCCCTATCGCCCTATAGCCCTACAGCCCTATAGCCCTATAGCCCTATAGGCCTATGGCCCTATAGCCCTATGGCCCTATTGCCCTATGGCCCTATAGCCCTATAGTTCCATAGCAATATAGCCCCTTAGCCCTATCGCCCTATAGCCCAATAGCCCAATAGCCCCATAACCCTGTAGCCCTAAACTGACTTTGATGTGGGTTTCTCTTTGGAGAGTATGGAGGAGGAGGAGGAGGAGGAGGAGGCGAACGGCGATGAGGATAGGAAGGATGCCCCCAGAAAGCAAAAGCCACATTCAGGATAAAGAAACCCTCGGCTCTCGACCCCCCTCCTCCTTGTCCTGCTATAGAGCTGCTCTGGGTGCCTGTTGAGGCCAACTGGGACTCATCGGGGGGCCTGTTGAGGCCAGCTGGGACTACCTGGTGGGATTGCCCGTGCGAAAACCGAAGCCTTGCCATCTCGATCGGACATTGAGCTGCATGGGTGGGAGCAAGCCGGCGAGCTTGCCACTCCTCGCCACTCCTCACCTGGCTCGCGGGCGCCACGATGGCCCCATCCCTCAGGAGGGGGAACAACACGCAGACACAATTAATCGTCGACACCAAGGAAAATATGGAAAAATATTGGAAGTGGGGAGAAGAGGAAAACCCATAAACTATTGGAAAATATTGGGAATCCTGGGATTTGTGTCTATTTGTTTGTGTGTCCCTTGGCCCCTTTCCTCACCCTGAGCCGCCGTGCCCAGGAGGAGCCTGAACCCCACGTGGAACTTCTTTTACGCGCTGCCGGACAGCACCCGAGGGAGGGTGCCTCGCCTCCTCCTCCTCCTCCTCCGCCTCCTCCGCCTCCTTCCGCCTTCTGGTTGACCCAAAAGAGGGTCCACCGAAAAGAGAGTGGTGCAATATGTTTGGTGCAGTAGATTTGCGAGCTTGCAGTAGAGTTGGTGTGTGCATACGTTCCGGTGCGCGGATGTATTGCTGGGTTTTCGTGTGCAATACGTTAGTTGCAATATATAGCAGTACAACTCTCTGGCGCAATACATTTGCAATACAATTACCACTAACCTATTGCACCACCTCCTTTCAGCTGGACCCCATTTTGGGTCAACCGAACACCTGCCAGGGCCCAGTTCGATCCGATCTATCCGATTCGATGTCGTGTTCACCCGGCCCGGTCCGATTCGAGTCCGATCTTCTGCAGGCGGCGATGCCTGCTTCGTGCGCCCCGGAAAGCGTAGGGAAGGTCATGGCGGGGCCTCTGGTGATCGGCTTGCTCACCTCTCGCATGCATCTTCATATTGTTACACTGGTCGCGTTTTGCGTGCGTGTGTTCTTATGTGATTGCATTGCTGGCATTTCGAATACATTTGCAGGTCATTGGATTCCTTGCCTTTTGCTTGCGTCCCTCGTCGCCGCAAGTTTTGGGCTCGAGCAGCCAGGAAAGCTGGATGGCCAGGGCCCCCCGCCGACTGTTTCTCCTCCTCCTGCCCCCCTCCTCCCCTGCGCTCTCCCCCTTCCTCCCTCCTCGTGCCCCTTCCTCAGCCCTCCGGCAACAATCGTGCCCGCACGGGCTTAGTATTTCAGAGTAGAATGCAATTTGTGAACTGGGCCGCAAGGAGGAGTAGGAGGAGGACGAGGAGGACGTCCTCATCCTCCTACTCCTCCTCGTCCTCGTCCTCCTACTCCTCGCCCTCCTCGTCCTCCTACTCCTCCTCGTCCTCCTCCTCCTCGTCCTCCTACTCCTCCTCGTCCTCCTACGGAGTAGGAGTACTCCTCCTCGCTCATCATGTCAGGCGTCGCAAGACGCATCCCTTGTTTCTTCTGCACTGCCTCGTTGCTCTGCCCGCCGGCCCCCGGAGGAGCGCATTGCGCCGCCTCGGCCGGCGAGACGTCGCCGCAGGGCGATCCGCTCGGCCCCGAGCAGCACGCATCACGCCGCTTCTGTGCGTCGGCATCGTGCTTGCACAAGTTTCCGCTTCTCTGACCAGGCGTTCGTCGAAACATACGTGCAACAGTGAACAACGCTGCCGCGTTTGCTTTTTGCCGAGAGCAAGCTTGAAGCTCAGGCGTCGGCGGGCTGCTGTCTTGGAGCCTGCCCGGTGGCGGTTTCGGGACAGCGTGCCAGCGCAGTACAAACTCACCCTAGGAAAGGCTCCACGGGCCATTGTTGGAGGAAATGTTCATCGCCGCAAGGCATGAAGATGCGCATTTCCTTCGCGATTTGGCCCAGGGAGACCCAGTCTCTGGACCCTTGCACGCTGGCGGGCTTGACAGGCAAACAGGCCCGCCAGTTCTGTTGGGACGCCGCGATGGTTTCCACGGCGTGACAGATCTTGAGTTAGGTCGGGCGTGTCCCTTTACAGGATGAATATTCAAAAATAAGCAAAACATAATCATCGCGACAAGCGTGGTCTTGTCGGAGCACAATGTGGACCAGGGGGGCTGTGCTATACGCTTGTCGTATTGTGCGTTGGTCTGCGGGGTGGCTGGGGTGTCTGTCTTGGTTCGGGCCTCCCCGAGTCTTTGGGTTGACTGTCGGGCGTAACGGTCTGGACGGGCTCCCCCTTGGACCGACTTAGTGCCCCCAGAAATTGTCTTCTCAAGGTCGCGCGGACATGACAGGGGCAGACAATGTGTGAACATGAAGGCCGATACCACCGGCACGAAGTTGCCTTCGAAACCTCTCTGGTCCGGGCTTGAGCCTTCGGCGTGGGCGTGGATTATTTCGCGCGTGCCTGTGCCTTGCTGTTCTGCGTCATCGTTGAATTGAGACTGCGGGGGGGCAGGAAGGCACGCGTAGCTTGCAGTCGTGTCAGGAGCCATCTTCGCGACATATTTTGTGCTCGCCTTTGGGCGAAGTCGGAGTGCCCATTGCGCCAGCATGGGGTCAAAGAGTCTGTGGTGGCTTACCAGAGTTGCCGAGATTTCCTCGTGTCTCTAGATGTGGAGCCCCGTGGACAAACACATCGCTGTTAATGTGGCGTGCTACCTGGCTGTGAATGGTTTTATGCACTGGTCGCACCTGGAAGGGTGCGCAGTTGAGGACTTCGCTGGGGTTTCTCTGGCAGCTCTGGAAAATGCACTTCTGGCGCGCACGTTGTCCAGGGCCTTTGCAAGGGCGGCAGCGCAGTCCATGCGTGACGGGCAGCCGAGTGCACTGCCTCCGACGGTGGCGACGTTCAGCGCCGAGGCCTCTGCGGCGGAGCTTACGACTGACATGGTGAGGCAGGCCGAGGAGCAGTGGCATCAATCTGTGCGTGACTTGGGTTTGTATGTTTGCACGTCTTAAAAGCCTGCAGTAGCGATTGCACGACTGTCGTCCGCGTCTTCTTTGGGAATCGACGTGGTGACGGTGTTGGCGCAGCGGAAGTCTTGCCCTCAGTCGTAGCGGGGTTGCCGTCTTGGCGCGCTTCTGCTACGGGCGTCTTCGGGTGCTGCGGGGGCCCCGCTCTGCCTCCCCAGCGGTCCAACCATGTCCAGATGGACTTGTCGATCTTCCCGAACCCGTGCGCGGCGGCGAACTGCATTGGCTATGTCGAGTGGGCGTGTCTGATGAAATGCCCTTCCTGCGCGTAGCCGGCGGGGCCGGGGGGGCAAAGCGCAGGCTCGCAGGGCAGCTGCTGTCCCAGGTGGTTGCTCTTGCTGACGGGATTGGCGAACCATTTCATGCGCGCGTGGCGGTCTTGGCGTGGGAATGCTTGCTGCGGGTTCAGTCCGAGGGCGTGCCCCTGCAGCGTGGTGGCCCTGAGACTGCTGTTCTACCGCCCCCTGGTAGACACTCGGCTGTGTGGAATGGTGGCCAGTTCCTGTGCGTCTGGCTCGCCAGGCGCAACCGGCGGCCCTGTGGTTCGTTGCTGAGGCGCCGGTGCACGTGCAGTTCGCGGGGTGCGGGGCGATGCCCTGTGCGCCGCGTTGGCCCCTACCTGTCGATTTCGTGCGCGGGTCAACCGGTGTGGCAATTCAGCGCTGCGCAGTTTGGCTCGTGGCTTCAACGTTCCAGCTCAACGCAGTTCGCCGTGGAGGCTTTCCGCGCAGGAAAGGCGACAGCCCTGGCCGAGGCTGGGTGTTCCATTGGTGACGCTTTGCGCGCCGGCGAGTGGCAGTCGCGCATTTTCTTGGCGTGCGTCGACGAAGACGCCGTCGATGCAGCACATCTGCTGACGCAAGCTTTGGCGGCTGGAGACCAGGAGGGCGCTGGCGCTGGGGGTGCCGCAGCGACGGTGGGCCGAGTGGCGGCGATGGGTGGTTCCGAGCCAACGTGTTTGGTGCTGGCTGTGTTTGCGGTTTCCCGGGGTGGCCCTCCTCGGGCCCCGGCAGCCCCCGCTTGCATGCCGGGGTTGGCCTCCTGGCCATGCGCGGGGGGCCCGTGATGGTCTCCCAGCGCTGCGCCGATGCAAAAATGCAATCCCAGTGCATCTTGGCGCCTATGCGTGCCGTGCTCCATCCTGCCCTTTGTTGCGCCCTGCCGCTCGGGCACGCGCGCGCGTTCCGCGCTGCGTTCTTTGTGATGTGAGGATCACCCTTCTCCTTCTTCCTCTTCTTCTTCTTCTTCTTCTGCTTCTTCTTCTTCTTTTTCTTCTTTCTCTCCCCTCTCCGTGCAGGAATGACAATTTCTGAGCATTTCTGCGTTGGCATTTTTGTTTTCTCGTCCAGAATCCGCCCGCGGGGGGGCCGGCCCGACCTGAATCCTGAGCTTTTGCGCGCCCGGTGCCGCGATGTTCACGGTCGCGCGCGCGGCCGGGGGGCGCCGGGCCCGCGCGCGGTCGATGTGCGGGCCAAACGTGCATCGGAGATGGGGGCGGGCAAGGTCGGCCCTCCGCTCGCGCTCTGGGGCGCGAGCTTCAGTCGGGCCTGTCCTTCTTGCAGGCCCGGTCTAGGCGTAAACCTGAGTAATATCTTTCCGGTCGCGCGCTTTGGCGTGTCTGACAGTCGGGGTGGCAGGGCGAAGGGTTCCAACCATCGACGTTTCCAGCGGTGCGACGCGAATTCTTCTGCGCCCGCGCGCGCAACGGGCGTGGGGGGGCACTCGCGATCACCTCGCGCGCGCGGTGCTTTAGGCCGCGTGTCCGGACTTCACCGATCGTGGCCCATGTGGTGTTTGGCGTGCAATGTAGACGGCCGCGAATGGAATGTGTCCGAAATGCGCGTGGGGCTTTCCAGGGCAGTTGGCGGCGCGTGCGCGTGGTGGCGGTGCGCCCGAGCTATGAAGTGCATTTCTGTCCGTTTCCCTGTTTGGGTTTCGTTCGCGCGCGTTGATTGCGCCCTCCTCGCCGACGTCGAAGCGCGCGATACTTGGGGGGAAAAAGGCGATGCTTCATGGGGTTGTCGCGTTGCTTGGGTAGGAGTTGGGCCGCGGCGAATCAGAGGGGCCGTCGGGGTCGATTTCTCTGCTTGGGCGGGGGGTTTCGGTGGCCACGTTGGGCGTGCAATGGCGCCTCGGCCGCGAAAGAGCGGTCGCGTGGCGGCGCGAGGCGGCCGATGCGTTGCGTTCAAAATCGTAGCCCCCAGCATTGCCGTCGAAAGTGGCAGGAAAGTTGGCTTTCGCGTGTCGGCGATCTTTCGGTCGCTTTGGGGGGCCCCGCGTGTGTCCGTATTTCTGGCGCGCCGCGCGCAGCGGGAGTTGGGCTCTTGCAAACCGGTTGCGCGCGTGCCTGCGTTGGTGGGCCCGTTCGCTTTCTCTGGGCCCAGACAGCGTGGTCGCCGCGAGAGAGCTCGCAGTTGCCCCCTTCGATGCTTTAGTTTGTGCAGACTCCGAAGGGGGCGTGGGCGTCGGGGCAGCGGTGGCCCGCGGAAGCGGCTGCGCGATA